TATTATTTTCCTTTAAACCATCTACATAAAATGTCTTGTAATTTGCTAAAATTATAGTTACATGTTACAAAGTGAGGGTATCGACGTAGCCATCAATTTAGTAGTCACTGTGAAAAAAGCTTGTTTAGGACTCACACCTCACACGTAGTTGTAACTGCTCTAATGCACCCTCGATTCATTTTAGATGATAATGACATGTTTCAAATGGCAATTTGTAGCTTCATTCTCAAGTTATAGGGTTCCCAGCAACTACCTAATTTTACGTGCGTCATTTTTGATTACATGCTTCGACAAAACTGGAATTAAATTATTTACCTCTATATAGAATTAAAATTAAAAATGAAAACGTACTTACTTTGGCAATAACTCTGTCTTAAAGGTAAACTAAAAATACAATATTTAAATGACCCTCTATCCACAAAATAAACAAAAGTAACGGAGGATTCGCATCGTAACACAAAAATTAATGACCCACCCTTTCCTAAAAGACAACAACAGGTCGGAAACTCATGGATCACTTTCTATTGGTGATATTTTTTACATGTTTCAAATTCAATTTTAGTTTCATGCGTGATTTATTTCGGATCACTTATTATTGCCAAAGTCCCTACTGTCATTTTAAAAGCTCCCTTCACCATATTAGGATGGAATCACCTACGGTCACATGATCACACTACAATATAAATCCTACTCCACTGTAACAAGACATTTGGTAGGATAACTTGACTGATAACATGTAGTAGTTATATCGTTTTTCACCATCTTTCCACCTTTCATTTTTGTTACTGTGTAATTGGTTATTTTCAATAACTTCGTAATAATTTGTTTTTCTCTTTAAAAGTCTCAAATTATTATCTGAACTCCTAAACCGTCTCCTTCCTCCTCCTGTACAAATTCTACCTACAACCCCCTTAAAAAACCCTGCTGAAGAAAACTGTTATAGGTTGAGATGTGTGCAGAGTTGCCTTTCCTACTCATTTTCAATCTCGCCTTTATCATGTCTCACCATATATTTCACCTTTTTTATAGTTCCTATAATCGTAGTATCCATAGTTTATTACGTATATGTTCACCATAGGAGTTGGAGTATATAACAACCATTTTGAATACTGGCCTCTAATTATTTAGGATGAACAATATCTTACATCAATACTTGTCCAATTGCAAATTTTACACCAAAAAATATGGTTTAAACTTTCGGATATTTCCTTCATAGGCACTTACAAACAAGTTTAAAAGTGTAATATTAAAAGTTTAGGTTGGTCATGCCTTATGTGAGCTGGAATAATCCTTAACCCATTGCAATTGAGTCGCATTGTGCCCTGATGCACCCCACTTTATTATTTTACTCTGTCTAACGCCAGATTATTTTACTCTAATTCCAGACAATTTTACTCATGAAGATAGATATAAAAGCTTTATTTATCCACGCTAACCCTGTCAACCAAGGCTGATTTCCACAGGGGGCGTGTAAAAAGGAATTACAAAAATATAGAAGGGGAGAGCGCTGGCACAATAATGGGTTAACTTGGCTATCTGCTCATGTGTACAGTTAACCCATTGAGTACATTGCACCTCACTTTATTATTTTACTCTGTCTGACGCCAGACGATTTTAGTCTGCCTAACGCCAGACAATTTTACTCTGTATAACGCCAAACGATTTTATTCTGTCTAACACCAGACCATTTTACTCTGTCTGACGCCAGACCATTTTACTCTGTCTAATGCTAGATGATTAACGCCTAGTGGATTTTGTTGGTTTGTTGTACCTTAATTTATATATATATATATATATATATATATATATATATATATATATATATATATATATATATATATATATATATATAATATTTGGTTTCGTTGGTTATAAAAACTTTGGTAAAGTGCTCAATGGAAAACCAGAGCATATTTAAATTAAGGTACAACAATCAACAAAATCCACTAGGCATCTTTATTACTAAATAGTTTCGTACCACAAAATGTGGCACTCTTCAGATAAATTGACCTAATGACTATAGACTAAAACTTACAAGGTTATATATGTATACAAGTGGATGAGGAGTTTAGGTTTTTGTCGAGGGTTGAGTGTCGAGGGTCCAATGTCGAGGGTGAGGGTAAAAAGTCGAGGGTGAGGGCAAAAAGTCAAGGGTGAGGGTAAAAAGTCGAGGGTCATAAAAAAGTCGAGGTCGAAATTTGCGGGCAAAATAACTTGTTTAATGTTGTGACATGGACATATCATGATATATATGTATGCAGAACTACATTAACTAATGTAGTTCTGATAAGTAATATATCATGATAAGTCCATGTCACAACATTAAACAAGTTATTTTGCCCGCAAATTTCGACCTCGACTTTTTTATGACCCTCGACTTTTTACCCTCACCCTCGACTTTTTACCCTCACCCTCGACTTTTTGCCCTCACCCTCGACTTTTTACCCTCACCCTCGACATTGGACCCTCGACACTCAACCCTCGACAAAAACCTAAACTCCTCATCCACTTGTATACATATATAACCTTGTACGTTTTAGTCTATAGTCATTAGGTCAATTTATCTGAAGAGTGCCACATACGAAACTATTTAGTAATAAAGATGCCTAGTGGATTTTGTTGATTGTTGTACCTTAATTTATATATATATATATATATATATATATATATATATATATATATATATATATATATATATATATATATATATATATATATATATATAATACATATATAACATAGATGGATCTTCAAATTTTGTTTTGGGGAGGAGGAGGTGTGCGAAAATACAAGGGGGCGAGCCAGGGGCACATAACACCACCAAGCAAATTGCAGCAGGAGTCTGCAAGCCTCCAGAAAAAGGAAAATTTTGAGATTTTTTGCTCTATTTAATTCAAAATCCTTATTAGTTTAATTTAATGAGTATTTAAATTTTTGCGGGCGTGCATTTCTCTAGGTAGGGTGGGAAAACTTTTTCGGGGAGGAGAATATTTTTGAGGGTGCGCACACCTCTCAGAAAATCTGTCTGTGATATGATTATTTGGTATTTCATCATTACTTGTGAACAGTAATAGCAATGTCATTGAATTATGTCATTTGTAACCAACTCCTTCGGAACCCTTGTTCTTCAAAACTACTAGTTATATACCATCATGTAATTAAAACTATATAAACATTAAACTGCTTTGAATTGATTCCTGTGCATGTTTCTTGGTGTGTATTGAATCAAAGAAAGAAATTGGCTTGGTATTAAAATTTGATCTGAATGAACAAGCTCCATTATCAACAAACTTGTAACAGTTGTAACATATACAGTATGTACATGTAAAATTGTATGTTGAATGTCGAGGAGGATACTCATAGGTGCATATCCACTACTGGATTTTCCTCATGAAAATATCTTCCTTGATTTTGGCACATTCTTGGTGCAATCATTCATCACATCTATCACACTAAGCCACCCTTAGACTTTGCACTTTGTCTTCTTCGAACCTTGGAAGGGCGATAAAAGCAGTAAAGCCAAACAATCATGGTGTGTTCATTATTTAATGCCTAACAATGAAGATAAGTATTATTACTTACAGTTTAATGTGACTACGAAAAATTATTGAGAAAATTTTGGAAATTGAAGTCTCCATGCAGATTGTCAGAAAGAGTATTTGGCTGCAATTTGGTTGCGAATTTGCTTCAGAAACTGCCAGAAATGCAGTCTTGTCTCCAGGAGCTTCGAAAACGTAGAGGGGGGGAGCTGGTGGATACATGTTCAAATTTTCTTGTCCCCCCACTAGTGGAAATGAATTTTGTTTTACCCCCCCCCCCCACCTGCACACACACATACACAATACATACCTTATAACCGGCTGCCGGTCATCTAATCACTTTGAAATGCTTATTCGTTGAACCATCATACAACTTTTCCCAAGACGACATATCGGGATTATCGCCGGTATTGTTTACTGTCAATAGTTCAGTTTCGCCGTCGGTATTCAAACGAAAGTCGCTTTCCGTAGCCATCAGCTTTCACATCGTGAAAATTAAGACAAATTGTATCCAAAGTGCAGGGGCCGGTTGTATAAAAACATCATTAACTTTAACTATGATTAGCGTTAATCACTGTAGTTAAATCCTTAACTATCATTAGTTAACTACACGACTTAATTGCGTTGCATATAAAGCTAAAATAATAGCACGTCCCATGTAATTTTAAAAAAAGGTAAACTCGATATAGTAAAACATAAGTCATAATGATGATCGCAACAATACAGCAATAACATGCTGTTTCTTTTCACAAAGTATCGCAGCCTGACACTCTCGTCGTTCGAAAGCTTCCATATTGGTTTAGTCAGAGAGATGTTCACTCCTCGACAGTCAACAGTCAATAATGTCACGCATAGAATTAGGCACTCAATACCCATGATGCTTTGCGGCCTGATGTCCAACCTCGGTTCCCAAGTGATTTCCCATATTTTTACGATCATTGCGGAAGTAAATATGTTATTCTTAAAATGACGTCACGTCAATTTCAGAGATAAAAACTAATGCTAACCGTAAAATGCGGACTGGACTGGTAAAACGCGGACTGGACTCTATTAGTAAAACGCGGACTGGACTCTATTAGTAAAACGCGGACTGGACTCTATTAGTAAAATGCGGACTGGACTCGATTAGTAAACGCGGACTGGACTCTAAAGATGAAACATGACTGACAAAAATAGTGCTGCTGAATGTTTAGATGTTAGTGGAAATCAAGCGGCTTTAAATAACAATGAAGGTCTTAGAGATAACCTATGGGTTTCGTATAACGGTAGACTGAAATGGTTTGGTTCATTCGAAGAACTAAAGGACATTGTCAGCGACTCAATAATGTTGACAGGAAAGTGGTCAGGTCCAGGGGGGATTGCAAATTATTCGAAGCAGAAAATACATAAATAAGATGGTATTCGAAGACCAAAACCTTAACAGTCAAAGGGGATAAAGCTGATGAGTTCAAAGCCAAAATAATGCTTGAAATAATTCCAAATATCAATGAACAAACAGAAGAAATTGAAAAAGATGGCGGTAATGCTTTGAGCAAGAAGGCAACCAAGCGAAACATGGGGGGGGGGGGCACCTCGGATGTTGTTGGCTTTGCTGAGATATTCGAGAAAATTAGTGATGTACAACAACAAATGTATAACAAGTTCGAATACCTTTATGATGAAATAAGTCGAATCAAAGCTAAAACTGGCGATCAGCCGGTTAAGATCGACAGAAATAAATTTGCTCAAGGCCAACAAGGAACTTAAAGAAGAGAATAAAATGCTAGAGGAGAGGGCAACTAACATATTTTACATATTGACTGACCTAAATACAAAACTAAAGGACCTTGGGAACGAAAAGGCAAGTTTGCTAACCGTTATAAAGATATTACATCCGGAACAAGTTCATGAAACAAGTCATGGAGATTGGAAGTGCCCGAGAAAAAATGTGATAAAATAGTCCGTGTGTTGTGACCCGACATCGTTCACTTTCATTAAGCATGTATTAGATCTGAAATATTTTACGGGAACAAACACTTTCAAACACGCTGAGTTCAAATCCGAAAAGTTCCCACTCCGTAAACCCGCAGTTTTCTCACAATACACGATTATGTCGATACACGATCATGTCACTCAAAAGGACCAATTTCTATTAAACCAGTTTTCCTATAACAAAAGACCGGTTTTGGTCGAATCATTTTGAGATATGTAAGCTTATGCGTGTTGGACGTAAACAACGTATCTTGTCTTAGTTGTCTACAAATATGAGAAAGTGCAGATAACGCTTTCTAAAATCCTCAGTTCTAGAGATATCTCTATAAAATCACAAGGCATTAATGCGATGTCTTTTGACTATGTCACTGGCTTGAAAAATAACTCTCTTAACGCGATCAAAGTATTTAAAACAAAAGTAACGCAAAGTATAACACCAACTGATGTAATAGTTCAAATGCAATGATAAGTTATCTCTTGAATTACGTCTCGGAAACTGTGTTGGAAATTTAGATGCTGGTCCATTACATACAGATTACCATCTTACACATAGGCGTACGGGGCGGGGGGGAGAATCAAGCCATTCGGGCAAGGGATTCGCCCAGATTCGGGCAAAAAAGAGTTATGTAACCTGATAGTTAAATAATACATTCAATAGCGCATATCCTTAACTTGGCACTGCAAGACACTGTGAGTGATGTGTAACCACTCCGAAATGCACGAGGGACATGACAAATCTGTATAATTTCTCGGAGATAAGTCCAAAACGCCATGCGATGTTTAATTCTGTTAAGATAAATGGTGATCACCTTGTTCTCACACTAAAATCTTCGAGTGAAACGAGATGGTCCTGCAGACATGGGAAGCAATAAAAGCAGTCACCGAGGAAATGTCGAAAATTATCAAAGCTCTTCTCATTTTAGCAAAGGATAAGAATACTAAGACGTACATTGACAGCATCGCCATTTTGAATGCCATTTGTGATTTTGAATTCGTATTTGGCTTGATTCTTCTGAAGGTGATATTATCAAATACAAGCAGTCTAGGTAACTATCTACAAGGGGAAAGGCGTCGACGTTAATTATCACTGCA